GTTAAAGTTCAGTCCAGTCTTCCTATCTTATTTATCTATTTCCAACCTGTCTATTGGATGGCAGCTGTTTAGATCTTTTCTGACTTGAACAAGATTTGACATGAGTCTCTAAGGTGCTCAAAAAGTAAAGGGAAAAAAAGAAAAAGATTTTCAACTGATTTTGACCAGCGTATTTTCTGTTTTTACTGGAAATCAACTACTAGACAAAAGAAAACCTTGGAACACCCTCCTCAGTCTTAAAAAATATAAAAATCAAAGTAAAAAAAAAGAATCTGTAAGACTCCCAGCTTCCTGTGTCTCCTGGGATAAAACAGTGAAGGATGGCCCCAGAAACACTTTGTCATGAGACTGTCAGAAGCTAAATGCAGAAATCAGAAATCTCCTGAAGGAGAACCTCTGCTATGTGAAGGCTGTGAAGAACAGCAACCCAAGGCATTATGAATACTATTACAAAATTATACCTAACAACATATACAAGTAAAAAAAAAAAGAAGGCAACAGTGGTCTTAAGGAAAGGTGGAGGGAAGAAAGAGCTTATGAGGAGCAAAACAATCAAGGACAATCTAATGGCATACTGAAGTTTTATTACTAATTTTATTTGGAAATAAAATATAATGCCTACATTCCAAAATTATAGTAGTTTTCCATTTGAGTCATATCACCAACTCTGCCAAAGTCTGTTTCAGAGCAAATATGGTATTTTCATTTTAAGGTCACTATAGAAGTAGGAGCTCAGGTTAAATACACATTAGGTGTGGGTTTTTTTTCCCAATCTCATGTACTTATAGTTAAAGCACTTAATTTGTCTAGAATTCAATGCAATTTAACAGTATCTTAATAACTCATTGGTTTGCTATTCTATTTTTTCACCCTTCCCATCCCTTTCCTTTCCTTTCCTTTCCTTTCCTTTCCTTTCCTTTCCTTTCCTTTCCTTTCCTTTCCTTTCCTTTCCTTTCCTTTCCTTTCCTTTCCTTTCCTTTCCTTTCCTTTCCTTTCCTTTCCTTTCCTTTCCTTTCCTTTCCTTTCCTTTCCTTTCCTTTCCTTTCCTTTTCCCTTTCCTTTTTCCTTCCCTTCCCTTCCCTTCCCTTCCCTCCTTTCACCTTCCCCCCCCTCCTCTCACCTTCCCTCCCCTCCCCTTCCCCTCCCTTCCCTTTCCCTCCCTCCCCTTCCTTTCCCTTCTTCTAAATATTTTTTCAGATGCTAATTTTCCCAAATGTGATGAAAAATTCGCTTTGTGATATTTTTCTTCTGTCAACTTGTATGAATTTAAGGCCTGAACCAAAATGTGATATTATGACAAAAATTGACATTATTGAGTGTTTTAGACCAGCCTCCCAGTTACAAAACTACTTCCATCTCCTTTATCCTCTCTCTAGCATCTGCAGAGATCATTCTAACCATATTGCTGGGAAAAAAAAAAAAAAAAAAAGGAGAAGAAGAAGAAAAAGACACTTTTATTTTTAGAATCTTTCTTAATGTTACCCCATTTCACATTCTCTTAAAAATAAGTGAGGTTGTATTATGGTTCAGTGGACCATCACTCCAGGCTAGCCATCCTGTATGATCACAGATAATTTAAAGAGAATATATGTCTATACTCTTCTTTCGGTTTATTGCCTTTCAGCCATGCAAAGCAGTTTGCTAATAAATACATACATGTTTAACACATTCCGGGGTGGGGGATGGGGGGGGGGGATGGGGGGAGTGGGGTGGGGGTGGGGTGTATATTTAAAGTCCAAGTAATCAGACTACAACTAAGATTAAAAGGCGGTGAAAGGGATGGGGGGAGGGAGAAGGGGGAGGGGTGCATGCTAAGGGGCGAACCAGGTTAAACAGCGTGTGTTGGACTGAGAACACGTGGGAAGTTTTCCCCGGCGGCGGCTGCGGCTCCGGTTGCGGCCGCCGAGCACCCCTCCATCCCTCCAAGAGCTGTGCTCTGCTGCCACCTTGGCCGCGCCGCGGGACGTGCAGGCGGCCCTGCTCCGCGCCCGCGGCGCACCTGCGGCCCCTGTCCTCCCGCCGGGGAAACTTCTGTCGGAGAGGTCTAGTCACCCTCTCCACGGATGTCACCCGCTGTTATAAACAGGACAAGGATGCATGCAACGTCTAAAGGGTCTGCTTTTTTTCTGGAGGCGGCCTGGGGGTGTTCTTCTAAGGAGGTTTATTTGCCATTGTGTTTAAATTCGAAACTTAGAAATGTGGGTAGAGAACACTTTTTTTTTCTGCCCCTCTGCTTATTGAAGGATTCTCCTCCTCCCTTGTCCATTCTTATTTTACACATTTAATGAAGAGAGCACTCAGATTCCCCTTCACATGCATTGACCTGCCTCGGTGCTCTTCCTACCGCCTGACCACTGGGGCTCTCGAAGGAGCTCCTGGCAGCCCATCCCACGTCCAGTCTCAGTGTAGTTCAGTTAGAGGTGTGTGTGTCCCTTTCTTAGGGGAGGAGGGAAAGGGTAACAGAAACATCATAATTTTCTGGGAAAAAAAAAAAACCAAAACCAAACAAAAAACTAGAAAACCAATGGAGTTTGCTAATTTCCTTGTTTGTCTCTCTACATCTTCGAGTCACAGTGGTACAGTGTTGTCTTGACATCAGTCTCTGGGCTGGTGGTACTGAGTTTGAAAAGCTCTCATACACTTCATTTCATCTTTGACTTGCACATGCTTTTTCTTTCATTTTTAAGGCTCTTTTCTGCTTCAGAGGAAACATGTTCTGTCATGCTGGAGTTTGCTGGTGGTAAATATTTCCTTTGACTAAAAGTGCACGTGTGAAAAAAGGCTTTTTAAATTACTTTTTATTTGATGGAAATATCTTTCTCACTTACTGCTGTCTCTGTTGTAATTAATAACCTGTAAACCAGCTGGATCCGGAGATCTGAGTGAAACAGCGCTCTCGGATCTGTCCTTTCAGCGAAACCATGCTGAGGAAAGTGCAGAAGCTCCGTATATACGTGTGTGAGAGGGATTCATGCGATGCGTGTGACAGTTTGCATACCCGACTCGGTGACAAAGTAGGAGCCGCAGGTGAGTCCCGGAGATCTGCTTTGCCGAGAGGATTTTTCCAGCTCCTAACTACAGAGAAGTATTCAGCTTTCCAACTGCTCCCCGGAGTTGGCTCTTCTGATTTGCTCCAACTGAAAATAACCAAGAGTAGAAAATGACACGCAATGAGCAGTCACCAGAGGAGTAGCCGTGTGTGCTGCGCCTCCGCTGAAATAAGCGCTCTCCACTGTTTGAGCTCTCGGTGCCCCGGCGAAAGAAAGGGGTGCGAAGGGTTAAAACGCTGACTTGCTTGCTAGGCAAAGTTTGAGGAAGAATGTGTCTGAGGCTGAGTATGCTGCAGCCCCGCGTTTGAAATCTGTCACCCTCACTTAGGAGTTCTGCGTCTCTGCTTGTCACCGGTGAATAATGAGCGCACGGCGATAAGATCGCTCCGCGGCGTTGCGCCGGAGCCGCCGGGGGAAAAAAGAAAGGAAATTAGGATGCGTTTAGCCGCTTGAGAAGAGTGTTCCTCAGTACCATCGGTGGATGTAAGGGTCAAATGACCGGCTGGACAGCAGCTTGGGAAGAAAATTTCCTTCCCCTTTTACTTGAGAGAAACCTTGGGTGATGGTGACAATTGGCAGCAATGGAAAACAGAGACCTTGGTGGTGATCCTTAAAAGAGTACCATGCCGGAGCCCAGTTGTTCTGACACTTTCTTCCCTTTCGACCTGCCGGACGCGGTGGGCTTTGGGTGACCTGAGGAGGACCCACTTCTGCAGGAGCAGGTAATGGCTAATCAAGCCACTTTCTGGATTGACACGATCTTGATTTGACCAAAGTGCGTTTTGAGTTCCTTTCTCTGATTTGAAGTGTGGTCTGGTTGAGGAATGGGGACAGGAGTAATGCCACCTGACCTCCCCGAGCCTGTGGGGCAGGGCAGCAGCCTGCAGCCTTGCAGAAGTTTTTAGCATTCCCGCTTTTCTCTGTGACTGGGGCATAGGGAGCAGAAATGACTGCGATCTTCTTTGCCTTACATGTTGTCGACAGGTTACTAATATCGGGCACGTGGAGAAAGAAGGGACGGGTGGAGAGAAAACGAGAAAGACTTAGAAGGGGGGGGTGGTGGTGGAGAAACGCACCGGCTGTCCATCAGCTTTGCGAAAGGAAAAACATGCAGAGAAAAAAAAAAAAAAACAAAACCAAAAACATCAAAACCCCAAAAACCACACCAGGTCTTAAAAAGTCAAAAAGAGCTAGAACAGCCTTTGAAAAAAGGTTGTCCATTCGCCTTTGGACCCTATGGGGCTGCTGATCCTTTCATCCCTCGAGACCAGCTGGAAGCAGCAGGCAGAGACTCGACTTCAGAGCAGCCCCTCCTCCGAACTGGGGATACAGGCTCTCCACAAGGATCTGATCCGTGTCAGACCTTCTCCCTCTCGGACTGCTAAACCCCGCGGAGGGCCCAAGGCTGCTTTCCCTTCCTCCCCTGGGCCTACAGCAGACCCGGCCCCCATATAGCTGTACCGAGAGGGGAGTGGGGGTTTCGTTCTCAACTCTTTTCCCCTCGCCGGGTTCCTTGAAAGATGCCAGGCTGCTACTTGCGCTTCCCCTTCCGCGCCCCCCCCCCCCCCCCCGGCATGTCTTAATCAATCCACGCATCCGCTTAGGTGAGGGCACAAACTCTTTCTCGAGTGGGCAGGCAGCATTGTGCGGCTCGGTTCGCGCTGACAATACGCGGGGGCTCTCCAAGTTCCCCTTGAAGGGCACGGGGAACTGGGTAGGGGTGGGGGAGAGCGGAGGGAGGGGCGGTGAAGAGCAGGAGCAGCGTCCAGCACACCGCGGCTGGGCTGACCCTCGCCGGGGCTCAGCGGCGGGCTCCTCGGTACGTTTTATTAAGCCTTTGAAGTCGTGAATAATTTAGCCCCGCTCCCCTCCAGCGAAGGGCGAAGGAGGTGCGGAGACAATGGCGAATGATTTAGCTTTGGAGGTACGGCTGAGCAGAAAATGCAAGCCAGTGAGCTTACAGGAGTGAGGGGGAAACAAACCTCGAGGCATTTCAGTCGGCTGCCTTTTTTCTGTTTCCTTGACACATGGCATTGATCAGCTCTCCTCCACCCCTCCTCAGCCCCTCTCTTAAAGTAAGTCGCAGCAAAAGCCGCACTGTGCATTTTCTTTACTAATGGAAGAGTTGGAGGCAAATTCTCTTCGAACACCCCACATCCAACCTTGACGGCTTTATCTATCGCTCAAGTGCTCGGTATTAAATAGTCTTGCCTGCAAGCGGACTTGTCAGGACAAGGCAGTAGCTTACTAAGGAGCTGGGCGGCGGAGTGTTACCCCGAAACAAGCGCAGACAGATGCACACACATGCACACACGAACGCACACACTCACCCGCACTGAAAGTGCACAGGAGACACTGTGTGTGTGTGTGTTAGCGCTTTAGGGCAAAAGGCGTTTTCTCCAGCGTTTTTAAAGTCTTACTGACGATGGAAATCAGACGGAATACTAAAGGAGGTCCGGCTCTTCCCTGAGGGTTGGACTTTCTTTTATTCTGTGTTTTATTTATTGCGTACTGCTACCGCCTACCTGAAAGTTCACAGGGGAGGAAGGATAGGGAGAGAGGGGGTGGGAGAGGCGGGCTTGTCTGTGGCTGCACATGAAATATCGCCATGTTGGTGGAGAGCACGGCTGTAATTATTGCTAGGGAGGGCATCTCCAGGCTAGGACCGCAGCTCGGGGAGCTTTTCAGCTCGCTCCCAGGCTTCCCTTCCGATACACCCCGAAAGTCCACAGAGCCGCGGGGCCAAGCAGCCCCGCCGCCAAGGGCAGTGATACCTGCACCTTCTTTTCCCGCATCCCCGGCCCGGCGGGCTTCGCGGTGAGGCGGGGCGAAGGCCCCGGGGCTGCGCAGCCTACGGCCCCCCGCGGGCAGCGCCGCTCTCTTGCTCCCCTTCTTCGAGAGTACGGAGGGAGGGGGATTCCAAGGGATCGGAGCTCGCTAAACTGTCTTCAGCAAGCAATGGGTTAAAAGCAGGGAAGGAGGAAAGTGGGTAGGAAAGAAAGAAAAAGAAAAAACCTAGCCTGACTTTGCCTCTTGGAAAGCTTTAGGTTGCAGCCCTGCCTTCCAAGCATTCTTTAAACTAGAAATGTGGGAGGGACTCCCGGAGAGAGAGAGAGATGGCTATCAACTGAATTCATTACTGTAAACATCTCCCTGGGGTGTCAGGCAGGGGGGGAAAAAAGGCACGACTTACATTAGCAGGAAATAGCCAGATCTGAGGCATCACTACTGCTAAAATCAGTCTGCAATACCGGCTGAAGGCAGGAGCAGGACTTGGAAAAAGCCAGACACAAGCATTCACATATATACTCACATATATGTGTCCGATGCCGCCTTCGACTTCCACGGGTCCGGGGTCTCCGTGCCTGCGCCTCGTGTGATCCTTTCATCATCTCGAGAGGACAGAAAGGGAGACAAAACCAGATCAAAACCCAAGACCAGGCGCACCCGTGGTCCCTTCTCGTTTATTTTCTACCGGAGAAGAAGGAACAGAGGGGGGAAGAGCGAGCGAACCGAGGAGAGAAAGTGCGTTGGGGATGCCAGAGCCGCGGGCTGCGCTCCGGAGGAGGAGGTGGCGGAGAAGGGGGGACGACGATGCCGCTGCCTCGTAAGGGCGGAGGAAGGCGCGAGAGGCGAGGGGGTCGTTCCGGAGCGCCGGCGGCCGGCGGGGAGTGGGGCCGGCTGGGAGCGGCGCGGCGCGGAGGGCGGCGGCCACCACCGAGGAGCGGCTGCAGCGGCGGAAAAGTTTTGGTGTGGGGGACCAGAGGCGCGGAGGGGGATTATGATCGGTGCCGGCGAGGGATTCCCAGACACCGCCAGGTACAGCTGGGGTTTCATTTCTCTGTTTCCCCCTTCCTGGTAATTCTAGCCGTGGTGCCCTTTGCCTTCTCCAAGAGAGAGAAGATCCTCTAGGTCTTGTCTTCTCCAAGAAGGCAAAGTAAAGGAGCCGGGATCAGGTTATGTGTCAGAAATACCACCTCCGCCTCATTAAAGCTCCGTGTCTGCGGGTGTGCGGCGCTGGGTACCCACGCGCACGGATTTATGAATGGCCGTTGGCAAGTGTCAGGAGGGTCCCCGGGTTTTTCCACGCCAGCGTATGGGTTAGGAGTGGGACTCAGAGCTTACGGCTGCTGCAGCGGAGTCCCGGATCCTCGGTCGCATTTCAGTGCCGAGCCCGGCCCCTGCCCCAAGGGCCAAGAACCGGGAAAGGGGGAGCCTAGAACTACCCCTGCTGCAGGGAACCGGCCGAGCGGCTGGCTTGGCACCACCGTTAGTACTATCTGGGACGTGGTTTTGAGAAACGGGACCTTTAAGGTGAGCCTTGGTCGGAAGAGGCAGTCGACTTAGTTCTGCGCTGGCAAGTGTTAAACTGATCCACGGGGAGAGCAGGGAGCTGCGCCCGGCGGGAGGATCCGTCAGATCCCCGTCAGCAGCCTCTGGAGCGGGGCTGGGGGCGAGGGGCCAGGTTAAGGGAATTGGATCAGGACTTCGGAATACAGAGGAGCCCTTGAGGATTTAGACGGTGACCTCTAGCAAAATAATAACAAATACTGCGCGAGCGTGTGTGTAACCAAGAAATAATATCGCAAAAAGAAGTCAAACAGCTGAAAAGACGTCTCTAGAGCGTAAGACAAAACCCCATAAAAGATAAATCAGTTGCGAAGTAAGACTCTCCAGCTTCTTTTCGGAATGAGAATCAGTCAACAGGAGCTTTTAATTAATTTTAATAGAGGAAATCTGCTTTAAGGCTTACAATAAGCTAATAAATCCAAGGCACAAATCCGTGTAAATTCCTGTACTGTGTGTGGAAGGTACTGATTAGATTTCTTCAGATGCTGCTTTTTGCAATGCAGAGTTCAGCTAAATAGAAAGGGAGAGGTTTCTTGCTTGAGGAGCAGGAAAAGTTATTAAAGCAAATCATTCACTTTCTCTGTCTCTCTGAAAGGCGGGGTGTGTGTTAAAGAGAGGTTTATTTACTGCACCTAACTTTACAGTGTGCTTGCAAGGAAATTAAACCAGTTTAGAGAGATTGATCGCTGCCTGAGTTTGAGAAACACCCATTGACTTGAAAAACTTCCATTGACTTAATTCCGTGCTTCATTCATTGAAATGGTCTTTCTCCAAGAGCATCTTTACGTATTTGTAGTTTCAGAGGAAATTAATGGATTGGTTTTAGATACATGGTTCTCAGAAGGAGAAAAATCTACCCTGGCATTTTTCAAAACACTTCAAGGGTACTGTACCTATACCTCTGTCCACCTTTCATTCCTTCATTTCAAGAATCAATGTATGCAGTGTTATTGCTGAGGCACAATCTTTACATAATCAAAAAGATCCAACAGATGTTATGTAAAAGTCACCACTTCTAAGTGACAAAAGTGATGTTAAATTGCTAGTGTTCATTTTCCTGAAAATTATGTGAGAGAAGAGATTTCAAATATCATTACCATTGGTAGGAGGTTTGCTATTTAATTGCCTGTTCTCCTCGGCAGCGAGGCAGTTAAAAGTAAGGGAGTGCAGGCCTGGAGTACTGTAGGTGAAGCAAGTCAGAGAACCGTGTAAATATAGTGTCTGTAAAACCCCCTATGACTAGAACAGTCATGAGTGTTTTCCAAAGTCCAGGACTGTTTCAAGAAGAAGTGGTGCTGGAATGCACCCAGCGTTCTTAAAAGTCTTTCCTCACATGCACATACACCCTGTATTGTGTGTAAAGTGATGTTATCTATGTTTGGCTTTGAGAGTCTGGATCTAATTTGAGCCACTGTTACAAGTCACATTTATATCCTGGCCTGCTGGATAGTTTGATTTAGGATGTAGACATATCTCCTTTGCGCAACCCTACACCCTCTCAGTTGGAATCTGCATTACATAGGCTATGGTTTCCTTCGAGAATCAGGAATGTGCTTGCCTTTAACTGCTTAAAATAGCAGCATCTAAAATGTAGGATGTTATTAGGGCTGACTTCTCTACCCTCACCAGAGAAAAGAAGGACATAGTTTTACTAAGTCAAGAAAACAAAAAGGAGTTCAAACGAGCATCACTATCAGGCTTTTCCTGTACTTCACTTTCTATTTAAAGAACTAGAAAGAAGGAACACTTAAGATAATATTGTTTCCAGGAAGGTGAGAGCTGTATTTCTTAATAATTTCTGCCATCTCTTTAATCTCAAAATGAGTTCATTTTTCACTAGATTACTTTCATGTAACTTTCAGACTTTTAAGCAGACAGATTCAAATCCAGTCCATTAGTGACCTCTATCTGTGAGAAGTGTATAGTCAGTGGTGGTTTTTTTTTCCTTTTTAATTCACCGTAGTGGATTGGAAACACAGGCTGTAAATTGTTTTGTTCCTTTATACTTGCAAATCACCTAGCTTGTCAGGTTATCAATGCTATATCCATTACGGACAGCATGATTTCCTTGTGTTTTAAATAGGAAAACAAGAAAACCAAACTGCAGTTCCAAACATGAATCCAGAACTTGGAAAGTACTCTAAATCTATTCCAGCCATTCCAGTGATAATGATGGACATCTGAAGACATCGAAAAAAAAAACCCTACCTCAAACCCAAAATTATCCAGTAGTACTGAACATCAATAATAAAGGGATTGCATTGATGTTTGTCTGATGGCTTAATACTTTAAAGCAGGCTGACCCTATGTGAAATTTTATTGCCCTTGAGTGCTTACATAATAACTGAAACTTGAGACAAACACTCAGACCAGATATGCTATAAGTAGAATTTATAGTAGCAGGGTGTTTAAAAATGTAAAAAAAAAAAAAAGAAATCCAGCTGTGCTTATATTAAGAATACATGTCAGAGATCAAGGAAAAGGGGGTCTTTATAAACAGATGGTCTCTTTTAGGGGATTATTAAACCCAGCTTCCCAATACTAATTTGTCTCTTGTTTATATCCACAGCTATATTCCATGTTTTAGTTAGTGATTGTAAATGGCAGTTGAGGACTTGATCAGCAATATCTTTGAGTAGTGAATACCATTGTTTGACATTTTCCAGATTGTAGTTGATTACCTCAGCACTTGGTAATATGATGGTTTTAGGTGTTTCCTTACCTC